GAGTCAACTTAGCCTTTTAACATATAGAATAAACTTGCTTAACTAGTTCTCCTTTCTGATCTAGCCAAACTTTTTCCAGCCCAGTGAAGCACCCCAACTTCTCTTTCATGTAATTGTGAGCAACATAGCAGTAAATATCAACATAGAGCAGATTATTATTGCAGATCACACAGGGAGTTAAAATATTTAACTGCAGCAGTGTTTGACTATATTCTGTGCAGTGAGAAAACCTGAAGTCATTTTCAAGTTCTACCATTTCTTATTTCTTTTCAGCTGGGTCAAGTTTCTAAGCTTTCTAAATCTCTATTTTCCAGTAATTAAAATGTTTTGTAAATTTGGGTATTTTTAATTACAGATACTGTCAAAAAATATACAACATAAGACTGAAATAGCAAAAATTCAGCCATAGTTTTGATAAAATAGACTAATAAAGTCAGAATATCCCAATAGACATACATCTTTTCTCATACAGTTTATTACATACTAGGAAAGGAAAAAAAGTTGCTGGTTTTGTTCATTGCCCATGTTATATATTTTTTATTAATGTTTTCAGGTGTATATGCAAGAGATAAGCCACAATTCCATTCTGGTACAAGCTCATTTTTGTTAATTTTGAGCAGGTCACTTAACCACTCTTAACTATTTTAGTCTCCTTATCCACAATGGAATACCCAAAAATATGAACACGAACTTCAGATAATAAATTTGTTACTGAACAAAGGGATTAGAATTATGCCCAACAAAAAAACTTTGTATTGCACTAGAATGATTTGAACAATTAGCAATCATAATTATCATTTATTAACTATAAAATTGCTTCTTTGTTTTGGAAGAATTTGTTTGCCCTTTGCCTATTTTTGAATGTGGTATCATTTGGTCTAGGACATATGATACTGAGCAAGGAATGACATATTAGACTATGTGGATTACTGGTTATCATTCAAAATAATCATATAATCTTATGATGGTTAAATAAATTCTCACTTGCACTTATTTAATGTAAATACAACATAAAAACAAAATAACTTGATCATCTTTTTCAATAAGGATCAATTGTGGCTTCTCTGTCCTGGTGATTGTATAAGAAAAACAAGTATTGCTGATATACAGAGGGCTTTTGAGGGTGCTTTACTTTAAAAGGTCTTGGAATCAAGTTGATAAGTAAAAACTACAAACAAACAAAAAAATAAGAATAACAATTAACTACTTTTTTCCTACATCCTTGTTCCTAAGTAAAGAGGTGAGTCTAGAGAGAAGAAGACCAAGGTTCTTTGTTCCTAAGCTTTGGTTTTCTTTTCTTTTTAAAAAATATGTTTTATTGATTTTTTTTTTTACAGAGAGGAAGGGAGAGGGATAGAGAGTTAGAAACATGGATGAGAGAGAAATATCGATCAGCTGTCTCCTGCACTCCCCCTACTGGGGATGTGCCTGCAACCAAGGTACATGCCCTTGACCAGAGTTGAACCTGGGACCTTTCAGTCCGCAGGGAGATGCTCAATCCACTGAGCCAAACCAGTTAGGGGAGGCCTTGGTTTTCTTATCTGCAAAATGGGGATATAAAATCTATCTGCGTGGAATTGAGATTACTTTTGTTTCACACAATAATGACATCTATACAAATAAAAGGGCAATATGCTAATTAGCCCAGATAGACCGGACATCTTCTGGACATCCTTCCGGACAAAGCCATGGTGGTGGGGGCCAAGATAGAGGCCATTAGGGGCAATCAGGCAGGCAAGTAGAGTGGTTAGGGGTGATCAGGCAGGCAGGCAGGTGAGCAGTTAGGAACCAGCAGTCCCGAATTACAAGAGAGATGCCCGACAGGCTGGCAGGGGAGCAGTTAGGTATCAATCAGGCTGGTAGGTAGAAGCAGTTAGGGACAGTCAGGAAGGCATGCAGGAGAGCAGTTGGGAGCCAGCAGTTCTGGATTCTGAGAGGGATGTCTGATTGCCCGTTCAGGCCCAATCCTTGAGGTGTCCCAGGTTGGAGAGGGTGCAGGCTGGGCTGAGGGACACCCGCCCCCCTGCATTAATTTCATGAATTTCGGGCCTCTAGTATAATATAATGCTTCTGCCACTCACCATTTGAATGATCTTGACCTCATTACTTTACTTCTTTAAACTTTTATTTTACTCATTTGTAAAATGGGACTAATATGTTTTGCTTATGTAGGATTACTGTGGAGATCACATTTTTAAAATGGCATGTGAAAATGCTTTTATAGAGTACTAGAAAATATAAGGACATTATTTCCAAAGCAACTACCACTGGTACAATTTCCTCTGCCACACAGTGCTGAATATTCTTAGATAAAATATTATATGAAAGGGGACTCAAAAGTCTTTCCTTTGTATGACTCTCTTCTTACTGTATCTGCTTTCCTAGGGAAATGAGATATTCTTGTTTAGGTTATAGCCAAGTCATTCATGGCAAAGAATACCATTGCCCCAAACTAGCTCAGGTCTCCAATCATTCAAGAAGTAGACAGTTAATGACATTTCTGCCTCTTTAGAATGTAAAAAAAAATAATAATAATAATTTTAAAAAATTATTGAAACATAGTATTTTAGATGCTACATAAATAATGAATTCTCAGAGCACTCTTTTCTAATAAAGAAAATGCAATTTGCATATAATTACAATAGTGAATGTTAACTAAAAATTGTATATGAAACTATACTGTTAAAGTATAATTTTACTTGATTAGTGCAGGCTAATATAGGAAATGAATAATAGGATAAGGAAAAATATTTCCAATTGTTGATCATTTTTTATTAACAATTAATTTGCTTTTTAAATGAATGATAACGTTAAATTGAGAAAGGGAGACATTTTGTAAAGCTGATTTTTTTGCTTATTAATTTTCTGGGATGTAGTTATGATGTATCTAACTCTGTAGTTACTGTCAACTGTCTCCTTTGCAAATTAATGATTTACTAAACAGATGGCCTTCTTACTAGAGGTCTAGAATTCAAAATTATGTTAAGTAAAGGGACAAATTGTGCATTACTCACTCTTTTATTATTAAATCTGGTTTCTATAAAGGCATACATTTTAAAACTTACCCCAATGAGGGCAGTATGAGAATTACAGGAGTCCAGAAAGATACTCTCCAGAATAAAGTATATCAAAAAGTTGTCTTTTGGGTATATGCATGGTTTAATGCATGTAGGAAAAAATGTCACATCCACAACACAAAACTAAATATGATCCAAAGGATGTGATACTGTTGCAACAATGTTGCATGCTGACAAAAACCTTACAGCATCCTGTCTAAATCCTTTGTTCTATTATTTTTATGTTACTTAGGTTTAAGGGAAACCTAGAAAAGATGTAATGAATTTTCCCAAGTAGTAAAGTCATTGTGCATGTTATCTTTTCAAGTCAGTGGGATTTCCAGTGGAGAGAAAGAAATTAACCATAGCATCAATAGATTCCTGATCAATGTAATGAATAAAAAGTCAGACTTTGGAGCCCAACTACCTAGGTTCAAATGCTGCTCCCACCAAATAGCTATGTAACCTAGGCTAACTTCTCTGTGCCTCAGTTTGCTCACAAGGGAAATAATGACACTGAAGCAACACCTCTTATAGGGCTCTTGAGGATACAATAAGTTACCATTTGTATAGTACTTAAAATACAGTATGTGATCTGTCTGCTAAAATGATTGAACAGACCCGGTAATAAGAAACAGCAGGAAAAGCTTACTAGTACTGACAAACTTGTACAGTTACTACTGCATTTTTGTCAGTAATGAAAAATATATACTTTTTAAATTTTGAGAAAATTTCCCGGCTTACTTTCAAATCAACAGGTATCCTTTAAACACCGATTGCCTTGGGAACACAAAATAATGTGTGTGGTCTCTGCCCCTCGGGAAGGCAGTCTTTCTATACTAAGTATGGAATAAATAAATGCTCACAGGGCCAAGTTCAAAGAAACATGCAACAAGAACGTACTACAGTGCCACATAAGTCACCCGTTAAGTAAAGCTATTCGCAGAAGTAAGTGCTCTACGGTGCATATTAATAAAAACGCAGCTACAGTTGGAAATGCGTTTATTTTGATATCTACACAGAAAGCTGCTACAGACAGCGCCGCACAGCAAGAGGCATTCTGCAGAAACCGTGATGTTTTCCTTGATCTCCGCCTGGGGTGTCCGACGAAACCTGTGTCCGCGACCCCGCGAAACCTTCGGGCGAAACCGGCCCTGGAAACACCCAAGAAGCTGGCGCTGGTGCCCTAGAGCTCGGCGTCTGCGAGGCCAGCGGCGCCGAACCGCGATCGTGGCTGGAACCAGGCTGTTTCCGCGGCTGGAGCCGATCAGGCCTCAGGACCCGGAGGCCAGGAGCAGGGATGTCCCCTCGCGAACATCTCCTACCCCGAGGTGCGGCTCTCCGGCCGGGTCTGCGGGGAGAAGGCGGCCTTGGCGCGAGAGGCCTGGGCGATGCTGGACACAAAGCCCCGCGCGGCTGCCCGGCCCCGCTCCAGGGCGCGTGAGACCCGGGCGCACCGGACACCAGCCCGGACCACGGCATCCGGCTGCGGCGGCCGCACGCCGGCCAGTCCGGGCCGCCCGGGTGCACCCCGCCGGCTCCATCACCCCCCCTTGGCCCGGCATCCGCGTCCCGGGCGGGTGCGTCACATCCGGGGCGCGCGCCCCGCGGGGAGGAGCGGGGCCGGGGCGCCGGGCGCGCGGGGCCGGGGGCGCGCGGGGAGGGCGGGGCGGGAAGGGGGAGTGTCTGCTCGTGGCCGCCGGGCCGCCGCCGCCGCCGCCGCCGCCGCCGCCGCTCCCGCTCCGCTTGCCGGGGCCGAGGAGTTCGCTGGGTCCCCGCGCTCGGAACCCGCCCCGTCCTCCCGCCGGTCCGCGGGGCATCGGCGCGCCGGGAGCGCTCGCCGCTCGGACCCGTGCACACGTGGGAGTCGCCTCTGCCTGCGGAGCGGCCCCAGCCCCCATTCCTCTCCCGGACGGACCCCTTCTTCCCCGCGGCGCCCCAGGCATGGGGAACGCGGCGACCGCCAAGAAAGGCGGCGAGGTGGAGAGCGGTGAGTCCGGGGCCGCGGCCGGGGGCCCTCGGGGCGGCTGGGAGGGCAGCGGGCGCTCCTCCGGGTCGGTGCCCCGAGGCCGCGGGCACGGTCCAGGCCTTGCAGCAGCGATCGGGAGCTGCTGGAGGGGACCCTGGGGACCAGCTGCCTCCCTCCTCTTCCTCCTCCTCCTCCCTCCTCACCCCGTCCGGCGTGAGGGCTGAGCGCGTGGGGCCGGATGGAGGGAAGAGGGAGAGGAGAGGGGTCCCCGCGATTCCCCCTTCTCACCGGAGCGAGGGGATTCACACCTTGTGAAACACTTCCCCAAATATGGTTCGGACAAAGGAGGCCCTTGTAATCACCCCAACCTTCGCTTTTCTCCCCACACCTCCTTTTCGGGGAGCCACAGGTAGTGCTGTGGGCGGAATTGGCTCTTTTCCCTCCATCACCGTGGCCACCCAAAACCTTTCCACAAGGTGAGGGGCCGCTCGTCTCGCTCTCCCTCCGCAGGTGACGTTAATCCTGAGTGGGAAACTACGTGGTAGAGAGCCTCCCTCTTCAGATTAGGAATGGAAAATATGATAATGCTAAGCAGCAACTTTATCCGCTAGACCAAAAAAAAAAAAAAAAAAAAAAAGGCAATGCAGGCTTCTTAGGACATGCAGGGATCTGCTACTGCCATGTAAAACTTAAAGGTCACTTGCAGTGGAAAAGCTTCCAGAATGTGGTAGATTTCTTCTAAGCACTCCAAGTGCAGGCAGGCCCCACTTCACACCAAGCAGGAAAGAATGATGAAAATGTAATGTCTGTGTGGCTATAAGGATATATAGTGAAGGCGGAAAAAAAAAAAAAAGTGATTCTTCTCCCACCTTCTAAGTTCTAACGGGGCTAGTAAGTTAACATGAGCAACAGGAGAAAAATCTCCAGAATTCATACTGATATACCACAAGATGGGAAACCAGAAGACACATTGGGCAGTTGAGGTTCATACAGCCCTTTGGACAAAGGAGACGAGGCCAGGAGTCTGGGATTCCTAAGAAAAAGTAGACAGTTTACAGGTAGAGGAAAAGAGCAAACACGTGCTAAACAAATTCTTGTTGGGCCTCCCAGGAACAGCGGGTCACAGAGAGATGTCTAACAAACAGGCTTTGCTACATTTCTCCCTGACACTTTTAGTTTATACTATGATGCTAAGGTGATGCTCTTTTTCCATTAAGCACATTTTTCTTCTATCTGAATTCCTGTAGGCAGGTAAAGGGAGAGGAGGGTCAGATGTTCTTTCAGAGTCTTTTGTTTCTTAAAAACCAGCTAAAAACTTATATCCCAAAAGGTACATTTTGGGGTGGCAAAACTTTGGTCCCCTTCAATATATTCTGCCAGAGCAGGACTGTTGTGTAAAAAAATATTTATTTCCCTTTGTCAGATTCATCTCAGATTTTATAGTTCATAATGACCAAATAACAAAAGGTATTTGTCAAATCACCTTGAGTAAATTACAACTCGGCATTTGAGGGAGCGCCTGGTGATTTATTTATTCCAGTTGTGTAAACAGGATCTTTTAATGTTTCTGTGTTTGTAACATATTTTAGTCTAATTTTGTAATTGAGCAAGAAGGACAAAACTATTGTGCCCCCTCGCCCCTCCCACCCCCTCGTATTAGTAAAGTAAAATTGATTTGGAAAGATTTATTTGTTCATTTTGTTTAATATGAATATTGATATTGGATTGTATGGTGTATGTTTCACCAATAAGATTTTGTGTTAATTTTCAGGAGCTCTAGAAAGTTGGATATACTATCATACAAAATATCAATGAACACACTTTCATCTTCCTTCACCATACGTTTGGTCCCTTTTACCCTTGACTATCACTTCACCCCCTTTCCTCTGATAACCACCATACTGTTTGTGTTTATGAGTTTCTGTTCTATATCCCACATATGAGTGAAGTGTTATGGTTCTTAGCTTTAACTGACTTATTTCACTTAGCATGATATTCTCAAGGTCCATCTATGTTGTGGCAAGTGGCGGTATTTAATCTTTCCTGATGGCTGAGTAGTATTCCATACTATATACGTGCCACATCTTCTTCATCCAATCACCTATCAAAGGAGGTTGTCTCCATGTCCTGGCTACTGTGAATAATGCTGCAATGAACATAGGGGTGCATATATCTTTCAAATAAACGTTTTAGAATTTTTCGGGTAGTTACTCAGAAGAGAGATTGCTGGGTCATATGGCAACTCTATTCTTAATTTTTTTAGGAACTTCCATACTGTTTTCCATAGTGGCTGTACCAGTTTACATTCCCACCAGCAGTGAATGAAGGTTCCTTTTTGTCCACAATCTCTCCAACACTGTTATTACCTGTATTGTTTATAATAGCCATTTTGACAGGCGTGAGATGGCATCTCATTTTAGTTATGGTTTGCATTTCCATAATAGCTAGTGAAGGTGAGCATCTTTCCATATATCTATTAGCAATTTGTATATCTTCTTGGGAGAAGTGTCTGTTCCAGTCCTCTGCTCATTTTGTAAATTGAATCGTTTGTTTAGTGCTGAGTTGTATGAGTTCTCTATATATTTTATATATTAACCCCTTAGAGCTGTTGTTTGCAAATATCATCTCGCATGTGGTTGATAGTTTTCTTGTTTTGTTTTCAGTTTCTTTTGCTATGCAGAAACTTTTTAGTTTGCTATAGCCCCATTCATTTATTTTTTCCTTTACTTATCTTGCCTTTGGGGTCCAATTCATAAAATGTCCTCTACAACCAAGGTGATATGAAGATTTTAAGAATCAAATGTAGAGATAGAACTTTCATTATCTTTTCTTATTGCACAAATGTAATAACTAACTGCACTATAATAAAAAGTATTAAGAATATGGGAATTGTAAAGAATTATTTGTGCCTGATGTATTGTCATTTTCCCCCATCTTAATTTAAAGCTGTATTAATTTAAGCTAAATCATGTGCTAATTGCATAACAAAAAGTATACTTGGTAATTGAATTATATCAGTGATTTTTATTAACAAGTACTGGCCTTTATAGAGCTTATATTTTTCATAATGATAAAGTAACCTCTTGTATGATCTATATACAGTGGTCCTACTTTATCCATGGTTTTGCTCTTTGAGGTTTCAGTTACCTGTGGTTAGTCGTATGCCAAAAATATTAAATAGAAAATTCCAGAAAAAAGATTTATATGTTTTAAATTTGTGCCATTCTGAGTAGCATGATGGAACTCTGCACCACTCCCCTTCATTCTGCCCAGAACATGAACCATCCCTTTTGTGCAGTGTACTCACTACCTGCTGTTTAGTCACTTAGTAGCCCTCGTGGCTATTAGATTGGCTGTCATTATATATCACAGAGCTTATGTTCAAATAATCCTTATAGTGGCCTAAACTATGTCACAATGCCTGTCATTCACCTCACTTCATCTCGTCACATAGGCATTGCATCATCTCCCATCATCACAAGAAGGGTAAATATGGTATAGGAAGATATTTTGAGAGAGAGACCACATTCACATAACTTTAATTATAGTTTATTGCTGTATTTTTTGTTTCATTATTGCTGTTGTTAAGCACTTACTGTATCTACTTTATCATAAGTGCATACATATAGGGGAAAAAGTTGTATACATAAGTTTAGCACAGTTCACAGTTTCCGGCATCCACCAGGGGTCGTGAGAATGTATCCCCCATGGAAAAGGGGAACTACTGTATTTCTTTTAAGTTATCAAACAGTTCTCCCTCTGGACAGTAAGAATTTGAAGCTCATAGTTTTGGATAATCTTGGAATATTTACAGAAAACAGAATGGAAAGTTTAAATATTTATCTAAATACATTTAAATTGTCCCAATGAATAATTCTTTCCTAAGCTTGAACTGTTTCAGCTTTTTATGTAAGTTTATTAATGGAAACTGAAGGTCATTATGGCAGTTGGAATAAATCTTGTTAAATGATAAAAAATATCAAATGATGTCTAGTTGGGACAATTATTTGAAACATAATGAATAGGTTGGCCAGTTTGTAATTTTTATTTGGAGCAATGTTACCAGGCACATGTTGCTGCTGTCCTGCTGTAGTGCACAAAGAAATGTTATTGATACGTCTTAAAACTTAATAACAGAACAACTTTACCATATATATCTAACTCTTGTGTTTTCCTTGAAAATATACTCTTGAAAATATATACCTTTCAACATTTGAACTGTACTTACTTAAACTGCCGCAGATACACAACAGCACAAAGTTTTAGAAATATAAGTGTCTTTAGAGATCAGCCTATGTAATCTTCCCATTTCAAAGCCAAAGAGCCTGACCTCTGAAGAAGCTGGAGGTGAGCCACACCGTCAGTGAGAGAAGGGGGAGGCAGAGGGAGGGTCTCGTGCCCGGCTTCATTCTGCATCCCTAAATACTCAAGTAATACACCTGTTTTCAAAGTCAGTAGGAGATATTTCTTGCAATTCACTGGATTAGCAGAAGAACTTAGGAATAGTCTTCCTTGGGTTAAAAAATAGGAAAAAGAATTTAAAAAGTCAATACAAACAGTAACACTATTTGGATGATAAATGCATATGATCTCATCCAGTTTTGTGATTCTGCGATTCATTTTGTGCAGCTTATCGACATTATCAAATTATCTCATGCTCAGGAACCATTTTTCCCGCTCTCCTGGTCAGTGTCCTCCTCACTTAGTGTGGACAGATTGTTGTTTTCCTTGCCAGCAGCGGGCTAATTAGAGGTGGGAAAGCCAGCTTAGAAAACAAGGAGGCCGAGGCTGAGTGGCAGAAGCAGCGCATGAAAGATCCTAGTAAGCCAGGGTAGCTAGTTCAGATCCTATCATAGTCAGGAGTTGACCATAAATCATTTTGATATTCCATTAAATTGATAAAATAAAACAATTAGTATAATTTATAAAATTATCTACATATCTCAGTGATAACGTCAGTTCACACATGTGACCAGATTTCCTCAGGAAATAAATCTTAAGTTTTCAATGAAAAAAAAATT